AAAAATATTTATTTTTTCAAAACAATTAGTTTTTAAACTCCAAACACCTGAGGAAACTTAGCTTGGGAGGTTGGTGAGATAAGGTTAATCTCAAATTGAGTGTTGAAAACCGAACTCATATGATGATTTCTTTCCCAATCCTATTCCACCTTGATCCTATTGGAACTATGCATGCTAGGTGATAAGGTAAAAACAAGGTTGAGGAAAGATAATATTGATATTGATTAAAGAAGTGAAAGTGAGCTAAGTCTATGATGTTGATAATGTTCCTTCATCTTGCCGAAACATTAATTATATAAAACTAAAGCATGCAACAATTACAAATTTTTCAAACAAATGTAAATAAAATTTAAATAATAATTTAAATTAATAAAATCATATTTTAATATAAAGAATTTACCGTTACCGACCTCTCTCATAGTTTTGGTTTAACAACATGGTCTTAAAAATATAAATCAAAGTAGTTAATAAAAAGAAAACAAAAAAAAAATAAAAAATTGTAATTTTTAGGACCAAACTGAAGAAATAACAAATATGAGAATCAAAGTGTCAATTGATGAAAGATGAAAGACTGGAACAGTTTTCCAATGAAGCACCAAAATTGCATTTTGGTCCAAAATCTCCGACACGAACTCTGTGTCCACTCTACGGTGAAGGTGTCAGTACTTCCTTTGAAGTGTCGACACCCTATGCGATTTTCCGCGAGTCATAGCCTCTCTTTATTTTGGCGCAGGTTGCAGGTCCATATTCTAAACTCTTATATCTAAAATCTTATAAGTACTCTTCCATATGAAAATTGATAAGAGCTTTGTGAAGGCTTTTGCCGCCATTTTGGAGCACTCTACAAAACCAAGTTAGAGGCGATAAACAATATAATTAATGGGCAAACATATATCCAAATATTATCATAAATATTAATAGTAAAAAAATATAATTTAGTAAAAAATTTTCAAATTCATTTTATTCTATAAATAAATTTAGAATACTAATTTTTTTGCCATTTTCATTGATTATTATTAATTCTCATTTATTTCTCAAAAGAACATAACTAACTCCCTTAAAAAAAAAAAACTTAAATTCATCAAAACTTACATACTATTGCTTCTATAAATTATATTTAAATCACAACATATTCAAAAGAAATGAAAGATTGGGTTGAGTTGAATATTTGTATTTTTAATTA